CCTCTCTTCCTTCTCTAATCTTTGCTTTATTTTCAGTTTTCCTGGCTGGCTGGATGATATGGGGTCATGGTGAATGATGGATCCTGTTCTGTGTTGCTCCTTCCAGTGATGTGATTATTACAATTAATTACCTCTCATTTCTCTATCCAGAAGTTTATTTGTTACTCCAAAACTATCTAGGTCTGGTTTGGTAAATTATGTGTTACCAATGGTTATGAAATATGTCGCACACTCTCCTGGTCCATCAGAGGACAGTGCTTACCGTCACAACCATCTAAGATCTACTGCTACAGAATGTGGGACTAGATCCTAAAGTATGTGACTGAGATTCACCTCTTAGATGTTTTTCAAGAACTCTGGGCAGGGACTTCTGGACTTCAATATTTTAGTAGTTTAGTATAATCTATCCTTTTTATTCTTTTATTTTTAGCTAGTTATGTCATTTAACTTGAATATCTGTAGGGTACATTGTATATATGAATAGGAATGTCACTATCAAATACTAGCTTATGCAATGATTATATGCTATGAAAATCTTAAATGGATTGAGTAACTTAGTATGGTGGGTTACTCCTATAGTTTCAGCTACTGGGGAGACTGGCACAAGAGGAATCCTTTTTTTTTTTTGGTCTGGTCGTGGGGCCTGAACTCTGGGCCTGGGTGCTGTCCCTCAGCTCTTCAGCTCAAGGCTAGCGCGCTACCACTTGAACCATAGCACCACTTCCAGCTTTTTTTTTTCTGCTTATGTGGTGCTGAGGAATTGAACCCAGGGCCTCATGTATGCAGGCAAGCACTCTACCACTGAGCTACCTTCCCAGCCCAAGAGGAATTCTTAAGCCCAGGAATTTGAGGCCAGCCTAGACAACACAGGAAGGGACTATTATCAAGACAAAAAGAAACCAAACAAAAGAAAACCCAAACTAAGTATATTAGGCTTCTTAAAGGAAGTGGACAACGTAGACTTAAAATTCAATCTGAAAATCTCCATCTTTTAGGGAACATTTAGCTCATGAACATTTAATAGTTGGATTTAAATCTACCATGTGCTATTTTCATTCTTCTGTTCCCTCTTTCATTTTGTATATTTTTCATTTTTCCTCTATTCTTTGTTCCTCTAACTCTTTGTTTCTATTTGTCTGGTTGTTGTTTTTATTTGATGTTGTTTATAGTGATTGTTTCAAGTTTATTTTTAACAAGACGGCCTGATAGCTAATGTGACCCATGTATATAATGTAAATTTCGTGAAAGCAACATTTAAATAAGTTAAAAGGTGAAATTTTATTACTATTTTTGTTAAACCAATATATGCAAATTATATTTCAATATATGCTAGCATAAAAATTAATAAGAAAATTTGTAATATTTTTCATATTATGTCTGAAGTCTGGTTTATGTTTTATTCTTACACCAAGTTTCATTTTAAACCAGTCACAGTTTAAGGGCTCAGGAACGTCAAGTGGGTAGTGGCTACCAAGAAGGATGATGAAGGTTTATGGAATGCTGCTTTAATATCATAACTAATACTATGCAACACATCTAGGAGAAATACCTATACTTCTGTTTCCTACTCCCAACATCACTACTACTATTGTTATATGTTTTACATCTATGTGTTACAAAGGAAAACACATTATCATGGTTGGTTGTCCTAGTTACCATCTTTAAAAAAGGTAAAAAACAGGAAATAAATTATTTTTTTATGCTGAGCATGATGACACATACCTAGAATCCGAGCATTTAAATAGAAGCAGGAGGATTACAAGTTCTAGACTAGGCCACATAGTGAGACCCTGTCTTTAATACACACACACACATACACATGCACACATATCTACATATTTAATGTTTATTTCTAACATTCTGTATTCTTTCATAGATTCCTAATTATCTGGCTTAAAGAACTCTTCAATATTTCTTGTGTTGTAATCTTTTTGATAATTTTTTTAGCTTTCATATGTCAGAAAATATTTTTTTTGCTTACAATAAACATTTTCTCTCCATATACAATTCTTTTTTTTGGGGGGGGGTCCGGTCGTGGGGCCTGAACTCTGGGCCTGGGTGCTGTCCCTCAGCTCTTCAGCTCAAGGCTAGCACTCAACCACTTGAATCACATTGCCACTTCTGGCTTTTTTTCTTTTTGCTTATGTGGTGCTGAGGAATCGAACCCAGGGCCTCATGCATGCAAGGCAAGCGCTCTACCACTGATCCACCTTCCCAGCCCCTCCATATACAATTCTAACATGACTTTTTTCTTATATACAAATTTAGAGTGATTTTTTTACAGATGGATCTGCTTACATTGTTTCTGACAAGAAATTTGCTGTTATTTTTCCCTTATTCATTTATACTTATTTATGTCATTAGTGAACATTAGTTATAGAGTTTAAGGGAGTTTCATTGTGATAGCTCCATACATGCACGTAACATGATCATATTTACAATCCTCTATTACTCTTATTTCTCCTGCCTTATCTTCTTTGCTTTTCTATATTTAATATACTGTGTTTTTAATCTTTGGTTGTATTTAGGATTTTTTTTCTCCTCATTGTCAGTTTCAAAAAAAAAAATTCAATTAGTACCTAAATGAAGTTTTTTTTTTTAAATCAACTTTTGTGTTTGTGACTTGCTGAACTTCTTTAATCTGTTGATTTATAGTTTTCATTATGTTGCATAAGCTTTGGCTTCTTAACTATATTTTTCAATTTCTCTTTTCCTGAGAAAACTTCAGAGTGATGCACATTAGGCTTTTTAAATTGCTCCACAACTCCTGAAGTTTTGTCCATTTTTGTTTCTCCCTGTACCATAAATTTTTATTTTTATTTTATTGTAAAGATGCTGTACAGAGAGGGGTTACAGTTACATGAGCAAGGCAATTTCTTGTTGAGCATTGATACTCCCTTCTTTGTTGTTCTCCCATTATCCCTTCCTTCCAGTACTTCACTTCTCACCCCCCTCAAAGTTGTAAAGTTACCATATAGATTTAGATTGCTGTATTTTCAAGTTATCAATCTTGTTTCCCAGAGACAAATCTCCTGCTAATCCTATGCCTGTAAGTTTTTATTGCAGACATTGTATTTTTCCTCTCTATGGACATATATCTGGGGTCTTTTTTTTTTTTACATACTCTGCATTTCTCTGTAACATGTCGATAGCTTCCAGTAATTTATGAAATATAGTTATACTTACTGTTTAGTTCTGGATGGATGTATTACAACTGATTGTTAACCTTCCCTCACTTAGAGTTACATTTTCTGGTGCTGAGTATCTGGTATTTTATTCAGTTGCATGCCATATAATTTATTTTCTTTTTGTGTCAGTCCTGGGCACAAAACTTAGGGCCCACGGGCTGTCTCTGAGCCTTTTGCTCAAGACTAGTGTTCTATCCTTTAAGCCACAGCTCCACTTTTGGCTCTCTCTCTCTTTTTTTTTGTCGGTCGTGGGGCCTGAACTCAGGGCCTGCGCACAGTCCCTCAGCTCTTCAGCTCAAGGCCAGCGCTCTACCACTTGAGCCACAGCACCATATCCGGCTTTTTCTGCTTATGTGGTGCTGAGGAATAGAACCCAGGGCCGCATGCATGCAAGGGAAGCACTCTACTACTGAGCCAACTTCCCAGCCCTCCACTTTTGGCTTTTTGATAGTTTGAGATGAGTCTCACAAACTTTCCTGCCTGGGCTGGCTTTGAACAGCCTTCTGAATAACTAGGATTACAGGTGTGAGCCACTAGCACTTGGAGATGCCAGATATTTTAATCTCTCCTTCTTTCCTTCCCTACACCTCCGCCTTCCCCCACCTCACTGCATCAGTAGCAGGGCTTGTACTCAGTGTTGCAGTCTGAGGCCTCTACCACTTGAGCCACAGCTCCACTCTGGGTTTTTGGATTAATTGGGAGATACGAGTCTCGTAGGCTTTTCTGGCTGGGCTTGCTTTGAACTGAGATCTCAGCGCCCAGAGTGGCTGGCCTTACAAGTGTGAGCCACCAGCTATTCTAGGACAAATGGTCTCTGCTATGGGCTCCATATCCATGGATTCAATCACTTACAAATCAAAAATATTCTCTGAAAGTTACATATGCATTGAGGACAGGGTGATGGGGGTCATTATTCCCCCAATAGTACCGCTTATCAGCCGTTTCTAGCATATTTACACGGAATTAAGCGTTGCGAGTCATGGAGGAGTGATCTGTATGTGGAGTCCTAGTCCATCTGTGCCATGTGGAAGAGAGGACTTGCATGCATCTCGAGGCTTTGGACGGAGGGGGGGGCGAAGCGGGGGGGTGCTCAGGCCGGCTGGGGAACCAGGCCTGTAAGGCGGGCACCCCCGCCTGCGGCACCTGTCAGAATCCGGGTTCCGCAGGGCCTTCCTCTTCAGAGGACAGAAACCATAGGCGCAGCAGCGGGACCACGCACGCCTGGGGATGACCAGGGAGGGGCGGGACCACGCACGCCTGGGGATGACCGGGGAGGGGCGGCGAGGGAGGGGCGCCGTAACTCAGGACCAGCGGCGTGGGGGCGGGGCATAAGAAGGAGGCGTGGCCATTGGCTGGGCGTGGCTGCGGGAGGGCGGGAGCGCTGCCTTACATTCCGGCCGTTCACAAGCGGCTTTTTCTGTCACCTGGGTGTGGTAGCCACCTCCCCGGCAGAAATTAGGCCTGGTTGAACTAGAAAGTGCGGGAGAGTCAGCCGAGTGGCGCCAGGAACACCAGCCCGATTCGGTACCCCCACCCTTCACCCCATTCCTCTCACCGCACCCCTCCTCCTCTAACCCCAGGCGCGGCACAGGTGCGGTGCTGGTCCGGATGAGCGTCTTCCCTAGGCAGGGCTCGCCGGGCGGGGGCGGGGGGAGGAGGGGGCGGTGCGGCTCCCAGGCGCCGGAGCCAATCGCTGCAGACGCTGCCACGTGGCGCGCCTTGACCAATAGGAGGCCGCGGCGATCACGGCGGGGTAATTCAAACGTGTTTACGGGGCGGAGTGTAGCTTCCACCTTTTTCTCCTTGTGGCTTCCGGGAGGCCGGTACAGCCTCGCGGACGCGCCCCGGGAGCCGCGGCCGGAGTAGGGGCTGTGAGGCATCGCTGGCCGGTGAGGAATGGGGGGGATGAAGGGGCCGAGTAGCGGACTCGGGGCGCGGTGAAGGAGCCGTGGGAGGTGCGGAGGTGTCGCGGCTTTGCGGGCCTGGGCCGCTGCGGGAATGGGGGAGGCGGTGCGGACCGGGCCGCGCCGCTGCAAAACCCCGTCGACCCCGTCGGTCCTGCCGGTTTCGATCTGGGGCCCGCGGCGGCTCGGAGACCCTTCTAATCCCACCCCAGAGGTAGGGAGGGAACCCGCGGCCCACTCGATGGCCTCTTTATTGTGAAATCCCAGGAGCGGAAGACACCCCTCTCGGTGACCCCGAGTGACCCGGTTGATGTTTAATAAATAACAAAGATGGGGTGCAACAGGAGAAAGATGGCAGGCACTTTGTTTACTTAATACTCGGGCCTGCAGGTGACCAAGTGCTCACTACTGTGGAAGTACCTTAGGCTCACGTATTGGATTGAGGTAGCAAGTCAGAGTCTACGAAATACACTCGAGAACAAATGTGCAGAGGGCTCCATCACCAGGAAAGGGCGGTGATGTTCATATTCTGCTTTGGAAATTTACCAGGTTGAAGTTTAATCAAATACTGTAGATGACTAAAGAAACAGTTGATCTCAGTATCCAAAGGATTCATTTTGTCATTTGTCATTCCGAGAATCCATGCAAACATCCTGTGTCTGTCTATTGAGACTAGGATATGTGTGTGTGTGTGTGTGTGTGTATACATATATATGCACACACACACACACATATGAACTTCAAAATGTGCAGATACCAGAGAAAGTAAGTCCGGAGAAATTGAAAGGAAGACATTCAAGCGTGTGGAAGGAAATTGTAAAGTTTAAAGAGGACAGCAAATTTTGTGTCTTGCAGTGACTTCAAGAGTGTAACATTGCCAGCTACCAGTGGCACTCGCCTCTGATCCTAGCCACTCTGGAGGCTGAGATATGAGGATGGTGGTTTGAAGCCAGCTTGGGCTGGAAAGTCCTTAAGACTTACCTGCAGTTGATCATCAGAAAGTTGGATGTGGAGGTGTGACTCACTCAACTGGTAAGAGAACCAACTTGAGAGGAAAAGTTAAGGGACAGTGTCAAGACCCTGAGTTCAAGCTCCAGTACCCACACAAGAATGTAACTTCACTAAAGTTATATTGGGAAGAAAAGGTGTATTTGGCCTTCTGAAACTTCCTTGATAAATCACAGACCATGACTGTTGCTTTGGGGCACATCGCTCTTAATCTCTAATAATAACTTCTCTTAGGTCTAATAATAAGTGCATTTAGATGTGCTCACAAGTAGTAAAATAGCTGCATTTAGATATGCTCTCAAAATTAATGTGTTTTCTTCTGGGTTCTAAAAGACTAGTTGCACCTTAGAAATGGAGGCTGAAGATGGGAGTGGCAGAGAATTGACCATTGATTCCATCATGAGCAAAGTGAGAGATATTAAGAATAAATTTAAAAATGAAGGCCTTAGTGATGATCTAAGCTTGACTAAAGTCTCTGCTGATAATACAGGTAAGCTATTTTTATTTTATTATCTTCCATTTATTTACTGAGAGATGCTGGGAGTGGAACTCAGGGACTCAAATATGTTTTACAAGCACTACCCAGCTACTTCCCCTTTTAAAAAATAACCATTTATTGCATGTCCCTGAAGTCAAGGAATGAGATGTCAACAACTGTGTTAATATAATTTTCTAAGTAATGGATGCTCATGTATTAAAGTGAACTTTATATTTTAGCCTGTTTAGAAATATTTCAAAATTGTCTGCTTTCTTAAATTAAAATTCAGGAATGGAGGCATGGCTCAGTTGGTAAAGTGCTAGCCAATAAACGAGTTTGAGTATGAGCAAAATACTGAGTTTGATTCTTGGTGTCAGACAAAAAAAAAAAAAGGTAAAGAAATTAAAACTCAGCTGTGTACTTGATGACATACACCAATAATCCTTGCTGCTCCGGAAGCTGAGAAGCGGAAGGTGGCAAATTGACACAAACCCTGGCAGAAAAGTTCAATATGCTGCCTCTCCAAAATAACCATCAGAGCACCAAGCAAGCTAGCTAGCTGAGCAAGTTCAAGTCCTTTTCAAACCCCAGTAGAGGGGAAGGAGGGAATAGAAGAAAAAAAAATCAGCTGGGTGCCAGTAGTGCTCCTCTGTAATCCCAGAAGGCTGAGGAAGGGGTGTATAGTGTCCTGAGGCAGCTGGGGTTGTAGAGCAAGTTCAAGGCCAGTACTGGTCATAGTGAAACTCTGTCTCAGAGAGTAAGAAAGAGGGAAGATTTGTATATGGGAGGGAGATGAAGAGAAACAGATACTGTTATTAAAGTGCTTAGAGGTATTTGTACTTCCATTACTGTCCAGATTCAGCAATAGGTCTGGTTTTTTTGTTGTTTGTTTGTTTTTGTTTTGGGGTGTGTGTGACTTGAAGCTGGATTTTGATTTGAAGAATTTGCTTATTATTTTCTGGCCCATTGTTCTTTGTTTCTGTCCTCTGGTCTAGACTCTAGGCTTTCTTGATATCTCTCTGTATCCTAGAGCAGCTCATTTCCACTCCTTTTTTCTTTGGCCTATGCCTTGAGTACTATGCCCAAATAGTTGCCCCCTCTTGCCTCTAGGTTTCTGTAAATGCCATTTCACTGTGGCTTTCTCTAACTTGCCTGTTCAATATGTGTCCCTATTTTTCTTCCTTATATTATTTGTTTCTATGGTACTAGTCATTTTGTATGCGATTAACTTATGGTTTTGGTTATTATCTTCTGGGACATGAACTCAGGAGGGTATAGTTTTTGGTCTGTTTTGTTATGTGGAACAGAATGATACTTGGTATGCAGTAGGCGCTCAAAACATTTATTGAATGCTGAAGAGTAAATGTGCCCAAAGCTTAATACACTAGTTTTGGGGGTTTTTGTTTTTATAAGTATTAGTGCAGAAGCCTGGTTTATTATATTTCAAATTGGTGAGGTCATTTGAACGGTGACTTCTAGATGTATTTCCTCACTACTATTAAATAGCTGAGGAATTAAAAGTAAGTTATCAGGAAAAGGTGTGATCTAATCATTTTGGGAGTCCAACCAAGAAAATAACAGTGTAAAAAGTCTTTTTTTTCTTTTCTCAAGTCTTAATAGAATATTAGTATGCTTTAGATTGTCTCACAGCTTGTAAGCCAAGGTAGTTGGGTACTTGCCCACACCTCTACTGATTCTTAGCTCAAAACTATAGTGTTGTGCTCAAGATGCAGATCTTAGACTTGGAGTGTAGGGGAAAGTTCTGAGGTGGTGGGAACAAGTACTTTCACTTCCAGATTTGTCAGTCTAGAAAGCTGCTGGTGACATTTTGCATACCAATGACACTGGTACTCAGTGTTGTTTGAATAGGAGGAAGGATAGATGCCCTGGGGCTTGAGGAACTAGACTCCTGATTTCCCCTGTAGTTTTCTAAACACTTCACTAACCAATTTGTTAGCAAAGCTATACAGCCAGGCCGAGTTACAGTTAAAACAAAAATGACAAGTAATGAATGCACTGTGGTTAGTAGAAAACACAAATTAGGGGCTGAGGGTTTAGCCCAGAGGAAGGGCCTGGGTTTGGTCCTCAGTCCTGGAAAAAGAAAAAAGAAAAAAAAAGGAGAAAAAAACCCACAAATTAGTTTTGCTTGCAGTATTAGAGATTTAGATTTTGCTTCAAGTTATTAAAGCTGATAAAAGGAATGATAGTTTCTGGAAAATCTGAACTTATCTGAATTTAATACTGTTTAATAATTACTAAAATATCCCAAATATTTCCAAATAGGAAACTGACATTCAAGGTTGTTCTTGTTTGTTTGTTTAAGCATGTAATAGTTATGGGGAGCATTTCATTTGTTTCTTCTGTATACATGTTTACACTAATCAGATTTCACCATTTCATCATTGAATATCTAAGATTTTAAAACAACAATAAAGTAAAAATGCATTACAATGTAAAAATTATATCTGAAGTTTAGTTTGGATGTTTCTATAGGTTAGGGTTCCACAAAGGAAAGAATAGCTAAAAAAAATTCCAAAGGGCATAGTGAGACCAGAAAATTAGCAAGGCCTCTGTGAGAAACGTTGGTAACTTGGAGGAAGAAAAAAAATAATGTCACATTTTTTTAATAGTTTGCAAAGCGGATTTTGTTTAGTTGTTTTGCAAGTAAGTTTGAGGTATCTGGAAATATTCTTGGATGGGTAGGCTGGTAAAGAAAATATACCAAAGTGTTAAGTTTCTGAATTTTTAATGAATTAAATGATTGATAGAGAATTTTCCCATATGAGTTGTTAAAAGTTTTACTACATTGAGTTTGTGGACATTGAAACTGATTCTGTAAATATTTAGCCATAATCTGAAGGAGAAATGGAATTTGGCATTGCTTTTTGTCCATCCCTGATGTGATGTATATATATATTGTTCTGTTTTTTCCTTCCAGATAACTCAGGAACTGTTAACCATATTATAATGATGGCGAACAACCCCGAGGACTGGTTGAATTTCTTGCTCAAATTAGAGAAAAACAGTGCCCCCTTAGATGACGCTCTTTTAAATAAATTGATTGGTCGTTACAGTCAAGCTATCGAAGCACTACCTCCTGATAAATATGGAAAAAATGAGAGTTTTGCTCAAATTCAAACAAGATTTGCTGAGTTAAAAGCGTAAGTAAAGAACATCTCTTCCCCAGTGCCAGTGGCTCACCCCGTAATCCTTGCTACTCAGCAGGCTGAAAGCTGAGGATCTTGGATTGAAGCCAGCCTGGGCAGGAATGTCTGTGAGATGAAGATTCCTATCTCCAATTAACCACCAGAAAACCAGAAGTGGCACTGTAGCTTAAAGTGGTTAAGTGTCAGCCTTAACTGTTAATTGGTGGCTCATGCCTATAATCTAACTACTCAGGAGGCTGAGATCTGAGGGTTGCAGTTTGATTGCAGCCTGGCTGAGAAGCCCCCTTGGGACTCTTATCTCCGTTTAATGACCAAAAAGGCTCAAAATGGAACATTGGCTTTAGCAGTAGAGCACTAGCTAGCCTTGAGCAAAACTGCTCAAGAGACAGTGTCTGGGCTCTGAGTTCAAGCTTCACATATACACACATAAGAATAACTCTTTTACATTTTAAGTAAAAGAGTTTTAACATTTTAACTCTGTTGCCAAGAGGAAAAGTGAAAACTTGTCAAATGACTATTTTGACTGAATGCTTTTTTTTTTAATGCAAACTAATTTATGTTAGAAGGGACTAACATAAACTTTCCTATATACATGTTTCCAAAAAAGTTACATGTTTTAGACTGCCTAAAGATTTTAAGAAATAACTTACCCTTTGAATTTTACACACACAGCAAAGCAATACCTTAGGTCTTTGAGGGGAAAAAGGTTAGCAAGTTTAGGTAGTGGTATCTGTTTTGGAAGAAGGAAAATTAACTCTGATCTTTTATTCCAGTATTCAAGAGCCTGATGATGCACGTGACTACTTTCAGATGGCCAGAGCAAACTGCAAGAAGTTTGCTTTTGTGCACATATCTTTTGCACAGTATGAGCTTTCTCAAGGTAATCTGAAAATGTCAAACTTACCTTTCAGTAAAGAAGCATCATTTTTTGTATTACTAACACCCTAATATTAAATCATCTGTGTAGAGTTAAGCCAAAAAACAAACAAGTTAGTCAGGGGGCCAGGTGGGTGATTTCTTTCTTTCTTTCTTTCTTTCTTTCTTTTTTTTTTTTTTTGTCCGTTGTGGGGTTTGAACTCTGGGCCTGGGCACTGTTCCTCAGTTCTTCAGCTCAAGGCTAGTGCTTTACCACTTGAGCCACCGTGCCACTTCTGTCTTTTTCTGCTTATGTGGTGCTGAGGAATCGAACCCAGGGCCTCATGCATGCAAGGCAAGCACTCTACTACTGAGCCACCTTCCCAGCACCAAGGTGGGTGATTCTTAAGCATAAATATGGAAACGTATTATACTAGGTGCTGTGTTTATAAGCAATGATCTAGAGAGAAAAGAATGAACATAGTGTTTAGGCTGTGGTTCAGGAAATATCTAAAGGAAAGTTGTTTCTTTCCTGAGTATTTGTAGAGTGAAGGATATAGGGGGATTAAGCCAGAACTTAAACTGTGATTTCATATACAACAATAAAAACATTTTATGTTTCTTAGTAGTCTGGGCTTTTTGAATTTGATCAGGTATGTCTACCTCAATCACGTTTAGTCTGGCCATTCTTTAGTCTTTGCTCTTTTCGTCATTTTGCCTTGTTAATGCTTTAGCTCTGCTCTGGTCCCAGGTACTAATCTGTTATAAACATCCTTGCTGGCACAATCCCAGGGATTGTTCACTACTACATATGCTCCAGGATTGGAGAATTATACAATTCAGATGGTTTGAGACGATGAACTTTGACCTATGGAGATGTTTATTCATGAACTAATCTTAATGCTTCTTCAGTCTATTGTGTGTAGTGTCAGGGTGCTTGTTAAAAAGCTATTCCTGATGGGGAACCTGTCATCCTAGCTGCTGTGGAGGCTGAGATCTGAGGGTTATGGTTCAAAGCCAGCCTGGGTAGTAAAGTACAAGAGATTCTTTATCTCTATTAAACTACTCTGGAAACGCTTGAGTGACACTGTGGTTTAAGTGGTAGAGTACAAGCCTTGAGTAAAAGGAGCTCAGGGACAGTGCCCAGGCCCAAAGTTCAAGCTCCTGGGCTGGCAAAAAAAAAGCTATTCCTTTTCCTGTCCCCCAAATTCATCCCTTTGTAATTGTAGGTTTGGTCAGTAGGCCTTTACAACTTGTATCCTTCCCTTCTACTTAAAAATCTTTTGGAAGTGTTAACCTTTCAAGAGCAATTGTAAAACTTAACATCTTTGGACACAAAAACCACCACAATGTAGCAGTATACGCAAATCTGCATGTGTCATTATGCTAAGCAGGAGTGATAGATAGGTTGCTAGGAAATGTACTACTTCTCAAGATCCTGTGTAGAGTCTGATGTGTGGGTGGGTGTGCACATGTGCATGCACTCATGCAGTATCTTCTCTTACTAATCTTTTATTAGGTTCTCAAAGGGATCTATTTAAGCTCTCAAATTACCTCTTGTCTAAACTTGTTGACCTAAAATTCTGATCATATCACTATCAATAAATTTGTGGATTTAATCTCTATCATAGTCAAGCAACAATCAGTGTTGCTCAGCTATTTTGTAATTTGAGTCCTACAGCTGAAATGTTGACATAGGTCATTTAAAACCATTATATTTAAATAGTTGTACAAAGGAGTTTACACAGATCATTTTGATGGATGGTTCCTTTTAGCAAAAGGTGTCAGCCTTGTTTTTATGTCTGAATGTTATTGTGAATGATTCTTGTGGTACTGGGGTTTGAATTTAGGACTTTATACTTCTAGACAGGTGCTTTACAACTTAGACCCCAGCCCCTTTTGCTTTCATTACTCTTCAAAAAGGGTTTTTTCACCTTGCCGGGCGCTGGTGGCTCATGCCTGTAATCCTAGCTACTCAGGAGGCTGAGATCTGAGGATCACCGTTCAAAGCCAGCCCGGGCAGGAGAGACCGTGATACTCCTATCTCCAATAAACCACCAGAAAACCGGAAGTGGCGCTGTAGCTCAAGTGGTAGAGCGCTCGCCTTGAGCTGAAGAGCTGAGGGACAGTGCCCAGGCCCAGAGTTCAAGGAAAAAAAAAAAAAAAGGATTTCACCTTTTATCTTTCTAGTCTGGCTGGCCTGGACCAAGATCCCTCTGTTTTTACTTGTCTTGTAATTGGGCTGACAGTTGCATGGCCAGCTTTTTGTTGGTTGGGATGGGGTCTTGTTTTGTTTTTTCTTTTTAACCTACAAAATGTTATCCCTTGCGATCTCTGCCTTCCAGAAGGCTAGGATTACAGGTGTGTACCACAGTCTCTAGCTTGAAAGATACTTTTATAGTCGGTTGTAAGAGATAAGCTGCTCTTAGAACTACTTTAATATCCAGAATTACCTCTTGTTTTTTCTTTCTTTTTTTGGTCTGGTCGTGGGGCCTGAACTTTGGGCCTGGGCGCTGTCCCTCAGCTCCTCAGCCCAAGGCAAGCGCTCTACCACTTGAGCCACAGCGCCACTTCCGGCTTTTTTCTTTTTGCTTATGTGGTGCTGAGGAATCGAACCCAGGGCCTTGGGCATGCAAGGCAAGTGCTCTACCACTGAGCCACCCTCCCAGCCCCACCTCTTGTTTTTTCTAACTGCTGTAGTTGGACTTTGCTTTTTCTTTTGTACTGCTTTGTGCTTTTTGTAACTTCTGACAGTGGACCACAGTAATTGACTACACCAATAGGTCAATTGTATATTATTACATATTGAACTCTTTGTTGTTGTTGTTGGTTGTGGAGCTTGAACTCAGGGCCTGAGCATTGTCCCTGAGCTCTTTTAAGCTCAAGCTAGCACTCTACCACTTTGAGCTACAGCTCCACTTCTGATTTTTGAGTGGTTAATTGGAGATAAGAGTCTCATTGGAGATAAGAGTCTCTTGGGGACTTTTCTGCCTGGGGTAACTTTGAACTGCAATCCTCAGATCTCAGCCTCCTGAGTAGCTAGGATTACAGGCATGAGCCACCATCTCCTGGCTGTTGAAACTATTTTTAACATGAATTGTTGTTAGCCAAAGAGAGTTGATTATGTGCACAAGAAGTGAGGCATTCCTATTTGCTATGAATCTTGGAAGAAATAAGGTTTTCTTAGGTTTTAATGAAATATTTGGGGTATGCTACATAAAACAACAGGTTTTCCTTTTGTTTAACTTTGTTAGGTAATTTCAGAAAAAGTAAACAACTGCTGCACAAAGCTGTGGAAAGTGGAGCAGTCCCACTGGAAATGCTGGAAATTGCCATATGTAACCTAAACCTCAAAAAAAAGCAACTGCTTTCAGAGGAGGAGAAGAAGAGTCTGTCAGGTAACTTTCAGTGTATGCTGCTGCCTTTCCATGGCGAGTAGGGTTGCAAAAGGAGTCGGGATAGTGGTTTGTAGAAAAACTTAATTTATGTAGAATGCTTCAAGTCAGAAGTTAATTGCAGATAGTAAAAGATAGAAGACTTTTAGAAGTTAAAAAGGCTTACCCTTGTTGGAATTTTTTCTTTTTTTCTTTTTTTTTTTTTTTCGGTCGTGGGGCTTGAACTCTGGGCCTGGGCGCTGTCCCTCAGCTCTTCAGCTCAAGGCAAGCGCACTACCACTTGAGCTACAGCGCCACTTCCGGTTTTCTGGTGGTTTATTGGAGATAGGAGTCTCACGGTCTCTCCTGCCCCGGCTGGCTTTGAACCGCGATCCTCAGATCTCAGCCTCCTGAGTAGCTAGGATTACAGGCGTGAGCCACCAGCGCCCGGCTTGGAATTTTTGAGTGTGTGTGATCACACTTTCATTGGTAAAACTTTAAAAAGCAACTCTGTTGAAGCCAGGGATGATGGCCTTTTCCTTTTAGATATAGAGCCTGCTTTTACCTCAAGGGAGACCATTATGTACTTACTGAGGATTTGACAAGGTCATTGGACAGTATCATCTTGGAACATCTTGTCTATGTACCTTGCATGAGGCCAGTTATTTATTGTACATTGATTTTAAAAAATATTCTTAATTAAGATTATTTCTTCTTTTATTTTAATGTCCTTACAAACTTGATCATAGCTTTGATATTTTCACAGGTTCTACCATGTTAACAGCCCAAGAATCCTCCTCTGGTTCTCTTGGACATGTGCCGAATAGGGACATTGGCAGTGACTCCAGAGGACTGGCCACTAAAGCCTGGTTATTTAATGGGTAAGAAAACCTCATTGGTTCTTTGCATGCTCATAATTTATGTAAATTATCTCCAGATACAGTTGCTTGTAAATGTGATAGTGATGTGTAGCAGTAAAGAAATGCATGTTAACATTCTTTGAAAAAGTAGAGGCATTTTCTTTCTGTCTAGAGAGAACATACCCTCACAAGAGGCAGAAATAGGTCCTCGAAATCCTTTGAAGCAAACTAACAAAACTAAAGTGGTAAGTTACGTTGAGTCTGCTTTGATTAAGGTGATAGTTGCCTCATCCCTGTCTCTTGGTTACTGGTTACTTAATCTTTCAAACCATTTCAGTCTTGCCCATTTGGAAGAGTTCCAATTAACCTTCTAAACAGCCCAGATTATCAAGAGAAGATGGATAGCTCAGTTGTGCCAGCTTTTACAAAAAGGTATGTTGGACTTTTAACTTTTTAAATTTGTTTAAAGATTTACAGAAGAATGGTCTTTAATTTTTAACTTAGCAACAGTAATTGTGATTAAATTTTCCTTCAGTATTAGAAGTTATTGAGTTTCTTTTTGCTGTGATTTTTTTTCCTTCTTTTTGTTCTTTCTTGCTATGTAATCCAGGGTGGCATGGAACCTTGTTGTTCTCCTCCCTCAGCTTCCTGAATGCTAGGATTACGGGTATATGCCACAATGCCCAGCAATACGTTTCTGAGTTCCTAAGTGTCATCATGAAGAAAAGCTGAGTAGAGAAATGTTTTGTTTTTCACTCATTGGAAGTATTTATTAAAGGCGCTATTTAAAAGTTAGGAAACATTTTTTTTTTTTTTTTAAATATTGAAGCCGGTGCCAGTGGCTCATGCCTATAATCCTAGCTACTCAGGAGGCTGAGATCTGAGGATTGCTGTTCAAAGCAGGCCTGGACAGAAAAGTCCCATGAGACTCCTATCTCCAGTTAATCACTCAAAAACCAGGAGTGGCCCTGTGGCTTACGTGTTAGAGTGCTAGCCTTGAGCATAAGGATGAACAGCACCTGGGCCCTGAGTTCAAGCTCTACAACCGGGAAAAAAAACAAAAACAAAAACAAAAAACAAACAAACAAAATCAACATGAAGCATAAAGTCTGCTATCATCCATAGAGTTAAAATTCCTGATTTATGTAATTTATACAAATAAAAAACAGGCTTAAGAGGGAAAAAATACATTGAAAATATTGACTTCAAATTAAATATTGAAATGATTTATTTCCTGTGTAACAGACAGAATTCTGGATCAGAATGCCGAGATTTGATTGTGTCTGGATCTAAGCCTAGTGGAAATGATTCCTATGAATCAAGAGTTTTGAAGGTATTTGTATTCTTTTATCTTGATAGGAAGCAAGGGTTTCCGATGAAGGGTTTGTGCAGTTTTCTTTGGGGACAGGGATGGAGGTTCAAGTATTTCCATCAGTGCTGGCAAAACTGTAAGGAGACCACCAGTGACGAGTGGGGCACAGGTCCTCTACTGTTCCTCAGCCGGTAATGATGCAGAGCAAGGGTCAACCATCACCTCTGGGACCATGAGGAGCATGTATTAGGCCTTTGTGTTTCTCTGGAGTAGTTGACTTGAGTTTGGGAGCTGCTGGAGGAGCTATTGTTACTGCCAAATGTGTTTTCTGATGTGTTTCCACATCTCACACAACAACTAGAGAGTATTTTGGGTCATAAGTAGTCAAGTCTGACTGGTTCACAGATGGAAAATTATTTTAGTTCCATATGCACTGTCTGCTTTTTGTTATTTTCTTTTAGGGGTTCTAGGAATCTTAGTATACTTGGCTTAAACTTACTCTGACATAGAAATATGCGTCTTTTCAGTTTTATAGTCTGTGTGAATACCTTTTGCTTTTGTGGCCTATGTATTAAATTTTATTTGTTTTTTTGTGCTTCTAGCTCTCATAGAGAATAGGCTTGTGTAAGAAATTTACTCCTAGAATAGCTACTATCTAGTTATACAAATGTTGATTTTGATTAATGCAGTTGTTTTTAGTAATAAAATAACCATCTGGGCTGGGAAATACAGCTCACTGGTAGAGAGCTTGGGACTGTCAAGTCCCTCAGCTCAGTTCCCAGCATTACAAGGAAAAAAAGGCAGGTATTGGAGGCCTCGCTCAGATGGTGTAGAGCTGCAGTTAGTGAGTGAGAGTGTCAGATAACCAGGTTCCATATCCAGTTCTGGGGGTGGGAGTGGGAAAGGGCATAGTGAAAGTACTGTCATGGAAACAGAAATACTTCAGTGTTTTGTTGTCATGGGTCTGCATTCTGTTAGACTCTTACTAACTTTCTAATACTTTTTCTTGTAAGTTAAATAATATGTAGCAAACATTTAGCAATTGAGTAATATTGTCTATTGCAATGCAAATGTCCTAAGTTTCTCTTTATAATCTTGCTATTGTTCTATTCAGTAATTTAGGTAGTTCTCATTTGTTCTCAATAGTTAATTTTGCTTTTCACTGTTGATGGTACTCTAAATCTTTCTTTTTTGCATTTTATATACAGTCTGTTCAAAATATCCATCCCAAGGAGCCTGTGGTATCAGATGAAAAGAATTCTGAATTTCTTACTGATTCGATAACCCTGAAGAATAAAACTGAGCCAACTCTTCTAACTAAATTAGAAGGTAAAAGTGATAGAATCAGATTTATTTCTTTAGTTAAGAAGACCATGTTACAATTTGAGAAAAAAAAAAAAGATTACTTAGGAGCTGTGATGTAAGGGTATATATAACTAATATATAGAAAAATCAATAATAGTAGTTTGTTCTGCTTCATTAGTGGCAACAGCTTTACTGGTTCTGAAGTCATCTCAACAGAAGCCTAGAGACATCTGATATACATACAAACACTGATATTACTTATTTTTCTATTTTTTGCTATACTGGCATACGAACCCAAGTCTTATGCTTGCTAGGCGGGTACTTTCCTCTATCACTTGAGTCATACTTCCTGCAATAAAAAGAAGGTTCCAATTTTAATATATTTTAATTTAGTAATCTTTGCCTCATGATACTTTTTGTGTTTTTAAACAAATTTTCCTCAGCTCTGAGATACATTCATATATTTTAGATTTGTCACTGTAAGTTCACAATTAGACTTACATTTTACTTGAACTTAATAACTTTACATGTGTAAGATCAGGTTTTAATACTCTTTCCTCCTCCCCAGTGCATATCCATTTGCTCAATAGCATTTATTGAAGAAACCCTTTTCCCTCTTCGAATTGTTATAAATTAGATAATTCCATGTAGGTATATGGTTTTGTCTTACCGTAGTTGCTAAGACCCTCAGTAAAATGATATATAGAAAAGATAGAACTGGGCAGTGGTGACTCATGCCTGTAATACTAGCTTCTCAGGAGACTAAGATCTGAGGATCACAGTTCAAAGCCCTCTCAGGCAGGAAAGCCCATGAGACTCTTATCTCCAGTTAACTACCAGAAAACTGCAAGTGGTACTGTGGCTCAAAGTGGTAGAGTGCTATCCTTGAGCAAAAGAACTCAAGGACAGCACCCAGGCCCCAAGTTCAATCCCCACAACTGACCCCCTCCAAAAAAAGGAAAAGATGATAATTAACATTGTTGTGTTTTTATTTTAAGGGAAGATTTTATGTATCTTAATGATTGCTGTAAATTTTAGACTTCTGTCTTATATTTAGTTCACTAATAGTACTTTTGTGACTGCTTTTTCTGCATCTGTTAAGTTAGTCATACATTTTCTTTCCCTATTTCATTATGACAAATTACATTGATTTTCAAGTAAGTAAACTTTGAATTTAGGAATACTCCATGTGGATATAGTTTTATCATCTTTTTGCATACTAATTGCTAGTATTTTATGTAGAATTCTTCTATCTGTTAACATGAAAGGAATAAGATTATCATATTTATATGGCATAAATATAATATTGAGCCTTTTTGTTTATAATGCCCTTATAAGTAAATTATAGGCCCTTGTAACGTAACATAAATTATAGGCAAATTATTTCCTTTCATTAGCAAGACTTTAACATCTATATTTGTACATTTTATTTGTTTACTGGTAAATATCAGCAGCTAAATCAAAGATGGTTCTCTGATAAAAATTCTTTCCTTTTTTTTTTTTTTTGGTGTGTCAATTGTGGGTCTTGAACTCTGGGCTGGGCCCTGTCCCTCAGCTCTTCAGCTCAAGGCAAGTGCTCTACCACTTGAGCCACAGCTCAACTTCTGGTTTTCTGAGTGGTTTATAGGAGATTAGAGTCTCATGGACTTTCCTGCCAGGCTGGCTTTGAACCACGATCCCCAGATCTCAGCCTCCTGAGTAGCTAGAATTATCTGCATGAGCCACCAGCACTCAGCTGCTTTCCTTTTTTTAACAACAAAAATCTGATGGGAGTTTGTGACATGTAACTGGGACTACAGAATACCACCAAACCTGGCCTTATTTTTGTTTTTATCACATTCTTCCCTTTCTCTCTCTCTCTTTCTTTCTTTCTTTCTGCCTGTCTGTCTCTCTGTCTCTCTCCTACCTTTCTTTCTTTCTTTCTTTTTTTCTTTCTTTCTTTCTTTCTTTCTTTCTTTCTTTCTTTCTTTCTTTCTTTCTTTCTTTCTTTCTGTCTGTCTCTCTGTCTCTCTGTCTCTGTCTCTCTCCTACCTTTCTTCCTTCCTTCCTTCCTTCCTTCCTTCCTTCCTTTCTTTCTTTCTTTCTTTCTTTCTTTCTTTCTTTCTTTCTTTCTTTCTTTCTTTCTTCCTTCCTTCCTTCCTTTCTTCTTTTCTTCCTTCCTTCCTTTCTTGTGCTAGTCCTGATGCTTAAATTCAGAGCCTGGGTGCTGTTCCTGAACTTTTGTTGTTATTGTTGTTTGTTTTTTTTTGGTCAGGACTAGTGATCTGTCACTTGAGCCATAGCTCCACTTTTGATCTAGAGTTGATTGGAGGTGAGAGTCTAGACTTTCCTGCCTGGGTGATCCTCAGATCTCAGCCTGTGTGTCTCAGATCATAGACATGAACCCCTGGCACCTGTCTTATTCTTACTTTTTAATTTCAGAAGGTAAAGAGTATCAAGATCCAAAGATTCTAGGAAGTACAAAGAAACAATGGCAGTCAACGAAAAAGTCAGAATGTGTGAACCAGAACCCTGTATTTTCAAATCAGCGGCATATTCCTGAAGCAACTCCAAAGCTTGATACAGAGGTAACTTTCTTTTCCCTTAACGTTCAGCTTTACTGTTGTTCATATGCATGTCTGAATTTTGATGATCTGGTTAAATGTTTTCATTTGTGAATCTTAATGTGCCATCTATAGTGGTATAGTTTCCTTATAAAAATGCCTTTAAAAAAATCATTTGGAATACAATGGTAAATAGCAGCTATAGTGAAAACATATCAGACTGAATTTATTTCCAGTAGTATTTCTAGACTGTTGATGTGTTTGGCACAGGAGTTGATAAACTAAAGCCTGTGGCCCAAAACTAGTCCCTAACCTGTTTGTATAAATATGGTTCTTTACAGAAGGGGTGTTGTGTTCAAAAGAAAACATAGGGGCTGGGAAGGTGGCTCAGTGCTAGAGCGCGTGCCTTGCATGCATGAGGCCCTGGGTTCGATTCCTCAGCACCACATAAGCAAAAAAAAGAAAAAAGCTGGAAATGGTGCAGTGGCTCAAGTGGTAGAGCGCTAGCCTTGAGCTGAAGAGCTGAGGACAGTGCCCAGGCCCAGTTCAAGCCCCATGACCGGACCTCCCCCCCCCCCAAAAAAAAAAAAGAAAACATAGTAGGTAATTAGAGAGGTGCAGATTGGAACTATGTTAGATACCACTACATACCAATGAGGGTGGTAGTAATCAGAGACAATAACATGTTGGTGAGGATCTAGAGAGTTATAACATTCTCTTGGAGTGGAAAATGATATATTCAATTTAGAAAACAGTCTGAAAGTTACTCAGAAGGGTATGCACAGAGTTCTCACATGATCTAATTAATTCTACTCCTAGGTTTATAATCAAGAGCATTGAAAACACATACCACATTATTTGTGCATAAATGCTTATGATATTTTCATAATTGCCCTACAGTAGAAATGACAAAATATCTGCTAATGGTGTGTAATATGGTGGGCTCATAGAATGGAATGTTATTCACTAACAAATATTGAAGTACTTGTATAGGCTCCAATATGAATGGACCTTGGGACCATAAGTGAAAGAAGCCCATCAGCAAAAGCCATGTATTGTACAATCTTTTTTTTTTTTTTGGGTCCGGTTGTGGGGCCTGAACTCTTGGCCTGGGTGCTGTCCCTCAACTCTTCAGCTCAAGGCTAGCGCTCTACCACTTGAGCCACAGTGCCACTGCCGGCTTTTTTCTTTTTGCTTATGTGGTGCTGAGGAATCGAACCCAGCGCCTCATGCATGCAAGGCAAGCTCTCTACCACTGAGCCACCTTCCCAGCCCCGTATTGTACAATCTTATTTGCATAAATAATCAAAAGATGCAAATCTATGGACATGAAAAGTAGACAAGTAGTTGTTGGGGAATGGAGAATGGGAGGAATGGGCAAATGGATGCCTTTTGGGTGATGAAAGGATTCTAAAGTTAGACAGTGGTGACTAGGAAAACTCTTGGGCATATAGAAAATAAACAACAACCAGTATCTTGCATCCATTGTTGATCCCGTAATCTTGTCTCACGGAGAGGTTATTTTTGTCTTGCTGCTCTTTCCTTCTAGCTATGAGCTCCTATGGTCCACCCTATTTCATTCTCCCTTTCTTGCAAACAGCCTACTCTTCTGAGGCTTCTACCTTCCGGATAACATCATCATATTCCTTACTTGGTTCTTCCACCCCTGAAAATCCTAGCAATTCCTCATCATTCCATCAAGAAATGAGCCCGTGGGTCACTCAAAGCCCAATCACTGCCACTTTTTTGCTGTCTTCTACACCCTGTGTATCACTGGTCCCTAACTTCTTCCTTCTAACAACCATTCCCTTCATTCACATCAGCTATTCACTCCTGTATTTTCACTCTGACTGCTAAATATCAAATGCAACTATCCCATTCTTACCCATGTATTTTGTTTTCCTTTATCTTTCTACAGGTTTCTTAATCACATACCATAATTCTAATGTATGTGTGTGTACACACACATCTTAAAGGGAAAATTTACCCAGGAAAAGAGATTTACCAACTATCTTCAAAACTGAGGACTTCAGTGTAGAAAGTAGGATAGATTTATCTATTGTGATTCTTGAAAGCATATGGAGGAAACGGGTTGAAATTACAATCGAAGTCAGTTTTTTAATCTACCTGCAAGTTACTACTTAATGAGTAAAATTTTCCCCAAATTAAAGTGAACATCTGTAGATGTAGAGTGTTTAACTAAGCACTCTAAAGTATTTCAGATGCTGTAGAGCAGGGATTGGTAAATTGAGGGTTGGTAGGCTTCGCCTACTCAACTCTGTTATCAGAGCATGAAATACTTACAAACTGTGTAAGCCAATGGACATAGCCCTGTTCCAAAAACTGTTACAGAAATAGGTGGCAGGCCAGGTTCTGCCTCCAGGCTGTAGACAGTGTGCATTCATTATCATGTGGGGTTTGTAACAAGCTGAAATCTGCAGGTTGTGTATCTCTCACAAGAGGAGCACACAGTGGCATCTACTATTTCTCTCTTTCTCTCCTTTCTCTCTCTGCTAAATAATTAGTATTTGGTCACATTTGAAGTGGAAAGTAGTTTTACTAAGGAACTTTGTTTTTGCTGGGGAGTGAACCCAGGTCCTCATCAATGCTAATAGACCTGTTGTACCATTGAAGGAAACCGTTTGTCTTAGTTACAGAAGTTCAATATTCATTATAATGTATCTGATTAGGAGATGACTTCAGGTCCTATTTTGTTAAGACAGTTTTGTGTGCTTTTCTGATGATCGTAATCAATTTGAGCAGTCTGTTAGGTTTAAGAATGTGGAGTAAAAGAATTGAACTAAAAATTTATTGAAAGTCAACAAAACACATACGCCCACCTGTTTTTGTATGCTTCTGGTATTCATAATAGTTTTATTATTTTCTTTTAAAGGTTATGTTTGCTAGCTGTTGTGTGACTCATCTGAAAACTTGGTCATAGCATTTAAATTTTTCTTTTAGCAGAAACGTGCCACGATTGAACAACCTGTCTTGCCCATTTCAAAGCACTCACCATCAGTATCCGCACCTAAATGGATTGATCCAAAGTCTATCTGTAAAACACCAAGTAGAGATACCTTGGATGATTACATGAGCTGGTAATTACTTTTTGTACCTGTTCAGAACTCAGAGTGGTAAAATAGAAGACAGGCTGTGGGACCAAATAGATCTGCATGTGTTTGTTACTTTAAAGACTTCGCAAGTGGTCACTTTCTCAGCATTTGCTTTTATCATCTATGCAATGTTCGTGTGAAGGTAGTTGCAGTAATACATGTTTTTAAAGATTGCAACAACTAGAGTCTTCTGTGTTAGTTGGAGTCAGTATTTACAGTCTGAAGGAATAGATGCAATCCCCAACAACCATGCATTGCTAGATGGAGACCTCATTTTGAGAAAGCGATAGTAAAGGAGGTTAGCATTCTGAGAGTAAAACAAAAGTGGATAAATACTTTTAGTATTTTAGCATGGGAGGTGTTCATTGGAAGGTGCTGATTTCCACGGAAGATTTTGTTGTATAGTTCACATAGTTCTTAAAGTGTTTGAAGGAGTTAAAGACTTAAGTGGATAGGGATGAGGGATAGTGAAGAAGTTAAATTGTCAGTCTTCACTAAAAGAAAACACAGGAGTATTAAAATAAAAGCAAATAAATGACCTTCCAGAGAACAGAAATAACCTGCAATTAACTGGATAACCTTCAACTAGATGGTTTAGTGGTCATTTTAAGCCCAGGGCCTTACCTACTTAATACAATTTCAGTGTAATTTTCTTTATTTTACTGTATGTAACGTATTTTAAAGAAAGATTGCTAACCAGACAATAAGGCAGGTATTTTTCGTGGCATTAGATTATTGTTTATAGATAGTAATACAGCTCTTTTGCATAATAGCAAACAAGGCGAAGACAATGTAAATGAATGTAGAGCAAATACAGACTCAGAGACCAAGCTCCTCTGAGGATGTCATTGGCTGTCAGATATTTCTAGACGACCATTATAGAAAGAATTCCCTAAGTTAAAATACTTGGTGGTAAAGAAACTAGAATAAATAAATAGCAGCTGTATTATGAAAACGAACTTGTGGTCTGACTGATGTAGAACTTTCAGTTACTACCAGCCTTTTAAAACATACGTGAACTTAATCAGAATCTTATTTTCTTTAAAAAAAAAATTTAACTTATAAATGAAGAAATCATTCTAGTTTTAGAACTCCAGTTGTAAAGAATGACTTGCCACCGGCCTATCCGTCATCGATTCCTTATGGCCAGCGCACTTGTTTCCAACAGCAAGTTCCTGCTACTCCTCTACAAAACTTACAGGTTCGATGAGCTTTGTTCATAATGTTTACCAGAAGGCATAGCCAGTTTCCTAGATTTTGTATTTATAGGATCAAGTTGTCAGGAAAGGTCTTAGTAACATGTCCATCCTTCCCAGTAGGCAAAAAAACCGTTTGGATTTCCCACCCAAGGATGATTCCTGAATTGTGAGTGGTTTCTTACTGAAAACATGAATTGAGGCTGTTCTTGGTAACCAGGACCCAGCGTTCCATGTGAACCTCTGGATCAATTTTCCCTTGTTCTTGAGGTTTCTTTCTCTTCTGTTTATTCAAGCCAGCCATTCATAATCAGCTTCATTTCATTCGCTGATTAATGATTCATTTAGAAAAGTAACTCTTTCAAAACTATCAGCAACCAAATGTACTGCTACAGTATAATATTCTAAACTAACAACAACAACAATACTGGTGAGACAACTGCATTGTTTCCATAAAGAAATCCAGTACTTGACACTAACAATACAGTAAGGTCATGTCACCTCTCGGAGGCAGCCCGAGAATGGTAGAAACATGGGCCTCGTAGACAGAGGCCCTGGATGTGAATCCTGGCCTCACCTCTTGCAAATTTCCCAAATTCTTCACACCCATTTCATGACCCTAATGAAATGGTGAAATGAGGCTGCTTACCCATAGAGCGTCTGTAAAGTTACATTAGTGCAACATATTAATATTTGTGCTTCATGGTACTTAGAACATAATAAGATTAGCAGTTGTTACCGAAATGAAACAGGAGAAAAAGAACAAGTACCTATAAAAACCAATTGATGAAAAAATGGACAGAAAGTAGGAGAGTGGTTACCAAGCTGAATGGAAGACAGGGAGTTGTTGCTTAGTGTGAAGGAGGAAAATGTTCTGAAGATGGATGGTGGTGGTGGTTGGACAGCCACATGGATGTACTCAATAGCACTGCATGGTATTGAAGATGGGTCAGATGGTACCGTGTAGGATATGTACATGTTCCCACACCTTAAAATAATGGATAAAAGCAGCTGACAAGCTTCTATTAGCTATGAAAAGAAGTGAGGGTATATTAAGGATCGAAACAATATAATAGAAAAAAAGAAAGGTGATCAGATTTGCCTATGCATTAGAAATGCCTAGAGAAGCAGTCTAAGAGGAGGCCCATGTCAGGAGGCTTGCGTGCAGCCGGAGCTCGCGGAAGGGAAGGTCAGAGTGCAGAAGGGAAGGTCAGAACACCCAGCTTCTTCAGGGCCTCTCCAGTTCTACCCTGGTAGAACTAGGAAGCTGGAAGAGGTTAAAGCAGGGGAGGTAGAGGGTGTGATTAGCAGCTTGAAAACCCCTCACAATGAGGGGACAGGATGTTCTGGGCAGAAGACTTACATGGAATTAGAATGAACTGGAATTATTTAAAACACTGCCCAGTGCCCACGGCACATGCTTGTAATCCTATTCAGGAGGATGAGATCTGAGGATCATAGTTGGAAGCCAGCCTGGACAGGAATGTCTGTGAGACTCTTCCCTCATTAATCACCAGAAAGCCTGAACTGGAGCTTTGGCTCAAGCGGTAGAACACTAGCCTTGAACAAAAAAGCTCAGGGACAAAGCTCAAGCCCCAAGACTGGCAGAATAAATAATTAAACTAAAATAAAAGTACTGCCAGCAGTCAGCCCATGAGAAAGGACACCAAACTGGGCTTTCAAGGGAGAGCAGAGCGAAGACCCAGGAAATGGATTTCATGACCCAGCAGTTTCTCTTGTTTGTTTGTTTTTTTACCAGTCCTGGGGGTGGGGCTTGAACTCAGGGCCTGGGCACTGTTCTTGAGCTTTGTTTGCTCAAGGCTAGCACTCTACCACTTGAACCACAGCACCACTTCCGGCTTTTTCGTAATGTGGTACCAAGGAATCGAACCCAGGGCTTCATGCATACTAGGCAAGCACTCTACCACATTCCCAATCCCACCAAGTATCTCTTAATCCTAGATAGTAAACAAATTAGACTCTTTATCTCCTTGTATTTCAATTGGGGATTATAGGAGAGAAATGCTGCCAAATTGATTCGGTCTAATTGGCTGGTCCAAAGCTGTTTCCTTTTTTTTTTCTTTTGGTACTGGGGATTGAACCGTGTTCTCTGGCATGCTAGACAAGCTCTTTACCTCTTGATCTGATGGCCTTCCTCTTAGCTTCAGCTGTTAGCACAGGTCTTGTCAGTATACCATCTGCTTCCAGTACCTGTAAGTACACAGATGAGCAGCTTAAGGAAGGGAAAAAGGGCTCTCATGATAGTACATCAGTTGAAAGTTGAGTGGGGACGATACTAAAGTTCAGAGAAGTTAAGCAACTTCCAAACATCACTCAGCACAAAGGAAAGGGGGAGGGGATACAATGCTAAAATTTGCCTTTATCTGATAACTCTTGAGCTCCTGATATCATGTACTTTGCTTTGCTTATGGTACAGTATCATGATAATGAGAAAAAAAGTGAAATTGTGTCTCTGCTTAAGGAAAGAGATGCAAGGAAAAAGGATGGAAAAGATGGAAAACAAGGGCTTAGGAATTGTGTGTTTAATATTCAAGTGCTATTTTCTTGATTTTGGACAGTAAGAAGAAAAACCAGTTAAAGGAGATCACAGAAGTTCATGTAGTAATTTCTTAACACTTGTTTTGATTATTTTTGTATTCCTGGCTGTTTATTGAGAACAGTCTCATGGTGGCTATGTGGTCCAGACTAGCCTCAAATCCTCAATTCACCTGTCTCAGCCTCCTTACTGTCAGGATTATAGGCATGTACCTTGTTCTTTCATTGGAAGTACAAGTTCCCCCTTTAAAAATAGAATGTATCTCATTATTGCCGGGCGCCCGGTGGCTCACACCTGTAATCCTAGCTACTCAGGAGGCTGAGATCTGAGAATCGAGGTTCAAAGCCAGCCCAGGCAGGAAAGACCTATCTCCAATAAACCACTAGAAAACCGGAAGTGGCGCTGTAGCTCAAGTGGTAGAGCGCTCGCCTTGAGCTGAAGAGCGGAGGGATAGCGCCCAGGCCCAGAGTTCAAGCCCCATGACCGACAAAAAAAAAAGAATATATCTCATTACTTAAGATTTAAGATAATTTCTCTTTTAAGTTGGGCTGGGATTTCTTTAGCAAGACAGGATAAAGTAAGGGAGAAATAGAAAAAGGAAAGAGGTCCAAATCCTGCCTGATACCCAGGAGGTGGGAGTAAGGAATTGTGAAGATTTAGAGTAGTTTTCAAACTGGGAACATTCCATTATACCAGACTAGTGTCTTATGTGTGTTCTTTGCATCATTATTCATGTATTTTAACTATTTAGTTTTCAGGATCCTCAACAAATGAATGCATTTCGGTTAAAGGAAAAGTGTATGCCATATTAAAACAGATAGGCAGTGGAGGTTCTAGTAAGGTAAGTATCTTAAACATTTAAGAAATGAATAAAACTATTTTTAACTTTGCTCTTTGTCTTTTTAGCTGTGATGGTTCCTAGCTTTTAGGCTCCTGTGCTGCCCTTGTGCCATGAGAGCTGCTTCATCTCCCTGCCCCCTCCCCCCCACTTCTGATCTCTTCTCTGGAGCATTTACCAGGTGACCCTTAGGTATCATCATGAAAGAATCTTTATACAAGCCAGTCAGAACCTGATGTGAGTTCTTTATGACTGACTGATAGTGCTTATTCAGCAAGGATTTTCACTACTGGATTTTGTTTGAGTTTGTTTGTTTAATTTTCAAAGTGTTTTAGGAAACAGATGAGTTTTTGATACTAGACTATTCCTAAATTCACCTGAGGATTTTTTTTGTTTTCTGTACTTGAGATCAAACCCAAGGCCTGAATATACCAAGCAAATGCTCTACCACTGATGCTACCTTTCCAGGCTCTGAGTTCTAAATTTATATGATTCTCTATGGAAATAAAGGACCTTAAGCAATATTGATCCATGGACTACTTAACTATTGTTAAATCTGGGCAGTCACATTTGTGCTTTCTATAATCAAGATTACCAACCTCAATATTTTTTTGAAATCTATTTCTTAGTCTACGGCCATACCACCCTGAACGCGCCCGATCTTGTCTGAAATCTAGTTCTTAGCCTTGAATTTTAGATTAATGAGTATTTGGTACAGTTAATTATGCATTTTGTGTGTGTATACTGGTCCTGGGGCTTGAACAGGTGCAGGGTGTGGGTGCTTGTCCCTGAGCCTTTTTGCTCAAGACTGACACTCCTCGCTTGAGCCACAGCTCCACTTCTTACATTTTAGTGGTTAACTGGAGATAAGAGTCTCATGGACTTTCCTACCTGGGCTGGCTTCAAACCTAGATCATTAGATCCCATCTTCCTAAGTAGCTAGGATTACAGGTGTGAGCCACCAGCAGCCCCTAGCTTAATTATGGTTTTTATTAGTAGTTTGTTTTTTTTAGTCTCTGTGTTGAAACTTTTTTTCTTTCCTACTGTCTTTTGTTTTTATTCTCCCAGTCTGACAACTTGTTTTCAGTCTTCCTTACATTACTGATCCCAGTTGTGTAATGTATCAGCACTCAACTTGTGACCTTTCATTCTCTATCCAGACTCACTAGTATTGTAGTCCAATCTTCTAGTTTTAAACACTGTGTACATACATTTCCAGTTCAGACTTCCCCTTTAAATTTGAACTTAACGTGTTAGTTGGTTGCTTATCATTTTATCTTGGTTGCCAGGCATTTGAAACACTGTATATAATACATAAACAGCTCTTCCTCCATAATTTTCCCCACTTCAGTAAATGGCAATTCCAGTTTGCTAATTGTCAGGCCCCAAACCAGGGACTACTCTTATTCTCATGTATGCAACCAACCCATCAGCAAAGTCTTATTTGTTCTAGCTCAGTATCTCCCAAATCTGTTCTTTTCACTAGTACTCTAACTTTGACTAAAGCTGCTCTCATCTTTTCCCTTGGTTTATTACAGGGGCCTCCTGATGAACAATTCTTCCTGACTCAGTCCTCTGCCCCTGGTCTGTTTTACCACAGTGCTGTTCCTCTGGCATGCTCCTGTTTTTGCTCAGGGTCTTAGTCAGGACTCTTCCTTGAGCACACTTTGAAACCGTGACTCCCACTTATCCAACTAAAATATTCTCCAGCCCCCTCGGCTTTTTCTCTAACTTATTTATGTATGCCCCTTTGCACTTGAATGTGAACTCCATGGAGATATTGATGCTTGATTTCCTCATTGATGTTAGCCCTGATACCTAAAATGGTTTCTAGAACAAAATAATCCCAGGTTCTTGGTAGCCTGAGTTGAAGGACTGTTGGAGCCTAGGGGTCCAAAGCTAGATAGGTAGCTTAGGGAGAGCCACCTCCCAAACAAAAGGAGAGAAAAACAATAAAACTCAAACCCTTGACCCTGGGCCTCTGTGAAACGGAAGTAAGGCTCAACCAATCTAGTTCGTAAACATTACTCTATTACAAGAATTCTCCAGTGTTAGGGACACCAGGGGAGAAATGCATACATACAAAGTCAATTTAAAAGTTTTTCCTTTGCTTTTTGGATCTTGTATAGATGTAATATCTTGCAATTTTTTTTTCTGAGATACTTGACATCCTCCAACATTTAAAAATTTTCTAGTGTGATTGTTTTTTAATGAGATTAACAAACTTTGCTATACTTTGGACTTGCTGTAGAATACCATACATATCCCAGCCCTCAGTCAACCTTCCTACTCTGTGTAGTAGGTACTAAGAATATTTTATTTTATTTTTGGCACTATCTCTGAGCTCTTATTCAAGGCTAGTACTCTACCACTTTGAACCACAGTGCCACTTCTGGCTTTCTGGTGATAAATTGGAGATAAGATTCTCACAAACTTTCTTGCTTGGGTTGATTTTGCACCGCGATCATCAGATCTCAGCCTCCTGTGTACCTAGGATTACAGGTGTGAGCTACCAGTGCCCAGCAAGAATTTTACTTTTGAGAGATTGGGGAACTGGTCCAACTTAGATCTCTGATGGGGCGGATCTGGAATTCAGATGCAAACATTTCCCGTGTGTGTGTGTGTGTGTGTGTGTGTGTGTGTGTGTGTGTGTGTCTGTGTGTGTCTGTGTCTGTGTGTGTCTGTGTGTGTCTGTGTGTGTCTGTGTCTGTGTGTGTCTGTGTGTGTGTCTGTGTGAAAGAGAGAGAGAGAATGCAGTCTTGTTAGCACAAGGTATGTCATAGCACCTCATACTGAAATAGAGAATACATATTGGGTAGATGACTGCTTTCAGGAACCCAGCCATGGCGCTCTGTGTTCATTAAGAGTTTTGAGACTTGGGCTGGGAAGGTGGCTCAGTGGTAGAGCGCTTGCCTTGCATGCATGAGGCCCTGGGTTGGATTCCTCAGCACCACATAAGCAGAAAAAAAGTTGGAAGTGGCATTGTGGCTCAAGTGGTAGAATGCTAGCCTTGAGCTGAAGAGCTGAGGGACAGCGCCCAGGCCCAGAGTTCAGGCCCCACGACCAGACTCAAAAAAAAAAAAAAAAACCCTAAAAAGAGTTTTGAGACTTTACCCTGTGCAAAATGGCTTTGTGCTGCTGTTCTTAAAATTATCTCCTTTGTTATCATTTTCTGCTGCCTCTTACTCGGTCATGTTTCATGTCCTGTCTCCTAGTTTGCTGTGTGTCTAAGTAGAATGAGTGCATTGACTTGGAGTTTTGTCATTAGGATGTAAAGTTAGAGGCAGATCTTAGAGGTTTGTGTGGCTTTAGCCACGAGCCCCATATACACATGGTACACTTGGACTCTTTCTCTTCCTTCTGAGTATCTGCTGTGTAGCCAAAGGCTTTAAACTTTAACACACAAGGGGTTAAATGAATGTAATTTCTTCAGTGTACATTGGCATTTTGTATTTGAATTATTGAAGTGTTGAAGCATCACCCCCTCTTCCGTGTTTTTACTGTGGCAATTTTCCATGTTTTCTTTATAAAATGTTTTCCATTGTGTCAGTATTGCTTAGACAGAGAATTCATTATAACCAGTGCATTTTGTTTTGATGTTAGAAATCCTGACCATACACTTGGGATCTTTTTCTTGCCCACTTTGAAAATTAGACCTACTCTCCTTTATACAACTGAACACACAGCTTACGTTTGCTATATGCACTTTTTTTCTCTGCACCTCCAGACACAATGGAACAACACCATAGGCACAGTGAATTGCCTATTTATCACAGCCTTAACCAATTTGACAGTTTTCTTTATATTAATTTACCTGGTTAACCAAGAGATTTATGGACATGGCAAATTTAAGTTGCTTTTTAAAAAAACAAACAAACAACACTTTTATTTGATTGTGAAGATGCAGTACAGAGAGATTACAGTTACATGAGTAAGGAAATGTGTACATTTCCTATCAAGCATTGTTACCCCCTCCTTGGAAGGGATAATAAATTGCTTTTCTTCTGTCTTGATATCAAAAACCTTTGAGTTATTGAATGTCCATTGTTGAAGATGGTGGGAAATGGGCTATTATTCTCATATCACAATTATTTTTTTTCTTCACTCAATGTAGTCTCAGTGTTTCAGAATGCTAGATTATAAAATTAATCTAAGAAGCGTGGTGATAATATGCAAATGATGCATGCTAAATTTTCTCTTGGTTTTCCTGTATAGGTATTTCAGGTATTGAATGAGAAGAAACAGATATATGCTATAAAATATGTGAGCTTAGAAGATGCAGAAAACCAAACTATTCACAGTTACCGGAATGAAATAGCTTATTTGAATAAGCTGCAGCAGCACAGTGATAAGATCATCCGACTTTTCGATTAGTAAGCATTTTTTGTTTAATTTTTTTCAAAACGAAGCCTTTTTTTTCCTATAATATTTCAGATAAGTATTGAGTAAACCTTAATATAATGGAGCCATTTATGATTTTGTTGCTTTTGTTTGGTTTTAATTACAGTGAAATTACTGACCAGTATATTTACATGGTAATGGAATGTGGAAATATCGACCTGAACAGTTGGCTGAAAAAGAAAAAATCCATTAATCCATGGGAACGCAAGAGTTACTGGAAAAATATGTTGGAAGCAGTACACACAATCCATCAGCATGGTATTCATATATGTAAAGTTTCATATGTGTTAATAGTGTCATCTCAGTGAAGGGTACCTATAATCTTACTGCTGGTACCTTTAACTAGATGAACTAACTTCTTGGAAGGCTTTTTAAAGAAAATATAAGGAACAAAGCCAGCTCTTAAAACACTAAAGGATATAATTATATCCTAAAGAATATGAGAACTCAAATTTCAACATCTCTTTCTATATTAATATAATCTGTGATCTGTGTCTTTCTATATTAATATAATCTGTGATCCTTATCTCCAAAATATTTGGAGTAGATCTGAGACGTTAGGATTCAGGACTCATAAAAATAGGAGGTGTTTATTTCCCTCATTCTGTGTCTTGTGCCCTATGTGAGGGTAGATTTTATTTTTTTACTGTTAACTTCTGGCTTTTCCTTACATTTTTTTCCTTATACTTGTAAGAAGTTTTCTATGCCTTTACCTTACCAAAACAAAACTCTTTTATTTTTTTTTATTTGTGAACATACTGTACCAAAACAAAACTCTTAACCTGGGTAATTTACATATCCCTTGCTCTATCTCTTTTCCTGTAAATTAAAAGCTTATTATCATCTGATGGCAGTGTAATTTACAGTGTTGTCTGTTGGGCAGTGAACCACAGTGTGTAATGATAGATTGCAGCCAAACTGCCTGGCTTCAACTTGTTACATTGTCACTTGGGCCTTGTGACCTTGAACATTACCTTAAAATGGGGATAATAATGGTACTTACTTATTATCACTTGAGGGTGAAATAATTCATTATTAGCAACAAACTTCAAATGGTGCCTGCAAGGGCTACAAAAGTATGGATTGTATAATAAATGAATATTTAATTGGTTGACTCGAACTGTATATTGTGAATTTCTTTTGTGCGTAGAATATTTCACATTATCTAACATAGAGGGTTTATTTTAAAGGCATTGTTCATAGTGATCTGAAGCCAGCTAACTTTCTGATAGTTGATGGAATGCTAAAGCTAATTGATTTTGGGATTGCAAACCAAATGCAACCAGATGCAACAAGCATTGTTAAGGATTCTCAGGTAAGACATTTGGTGGTTTGATACCACACAGTAGAGTTTAGTTAAGTATAATTTTGCTAGTCAGTATTCTTATCTGTATCATTTTGCAAAGCATTTGAAATCTTTTTGATAAGAATAGATACTGTAACCATGAATAGATTGAAAATCATGGACAGTATGATTTAGAAAAGAAAGGTAAGATTAGATAGAAATATATGAAGCAATTTTGAGTGATTTGCCATTGCTTAGGTAGAGAAGCAGTAAGACCTGCTTTGGAAATCGTTTGTGTCATGTTCTAAAATTGACCTGAAAATTAGCTCTTTTTTCTGGTTACAACAAAAGGGGATTGTAATGTACATGTGTTTCCATTGTGTGTGAAGTGAAACTTTCTCTGCTTTGAGAGAAGCAAAGTTCTTCCTGTCCTTCAAATTGTAAAAAGAATTTAAGAGAGTCTTCAGAGTGTAAATGCCTTAATAAATATTGTACTTGGCAGCAGTAGTAAATGTAATGAACTTGCCTCATAAGAACTAAAGAAATGATAACCAGGTTAGCTAAAATATCTAGTCTTCCGTGGACCTAATATAAAATGTCCATTCTTGGAGTAAATAATAGACTTTAGTAAGAGGAATAGATGGACAGCATGCCTTTAAATCATTTCTATTGAGCAATCATTATGCTTTATATAAAAAATAGGACCAAGCTGGGTGCCAGTGTCTCACATTTATAATCCTAGCTACTTGGGAGGCTGAGATTTGATGATCTTGGTTTGAAGCCAGCCCAGCAGGAAAGTCTGTGAAGATCTTCTCTCCATTTAATCACCAAGCCAGAAGTAGAGCTGTGGCTCAAGGGATAGAGCACTAGCCTTGAGCAAAAAAACCTAGGCACAGCCCCCCAGGACCTGCACACAAAAGAAAAAAAAAGTATGGCTAAGCATTGAGTTGTAAATCAGCTTGAAGATAACTTCTTCAGCAAGACTAAAGCACAGGTGCTATTTATTGGAAGCAGAACCATTTATTTTAAAAGAAGCACCGTGTAATGCATGTTGTAAACTCCTGTGTGATCTCTGTGCTCATCCCATAGCAGTTCACATGGGGTCCAATAGTCTCAGAAGACAAAGTTGGGTCTTTTTCCATTATTCTTCGTTTGCTTATATTAATTGTTTATTAAAGGGATGAAACATGTTGACTCTGTTCAGACAATGAAGTCCCTCAAAGTTGATTTCCACTAATAGAATTTTAGCCTGGGTAGTTTTTAAAGCAGATATTTATTACTAGTTACCTAATACGATTATAGAAAAGTCAAAGCATTCTGTAAAACATCAGTTTTGTTTGTTTTTGTCAGTCGTGGGACTTGAACTCTGGACCTGGGCGCTGTCCCTGAGATCTTCAGCTTAAGGCTAGCACTCTACCACTTGAGCCACAGCACCACTTCTGGTTTTCTGGTGGTTAATTAGAGATAAGAGTCTTATGGACTTTCCTGCCTGGGCTGGCTTTGAACCACAATCCTCAGATCTCAGCCTCCTGAGATGCTAGGATTATAGGTGTGAGCCACCATGGCCCAGCTTCCAAGTCAGTTTTTAAATTTGTTGTTTTAATTTGTTGGAGTTATAATTTGATCATATATGACATACATATCTTAACATTGTTGGCAGTTACTTGAATTTTTCAAGTATATCACTTGAATCTGTCATTCTCCAGGTTCCAAAAAAATCGAGCATTTATTTATGTTATAACAATTTGAGGCAGATTGACATATTTTCATTGGTTTGTGTTTTTTGGGACTTGGCAAATAGGTTGGGACCATTAACTACATGCCGCCAGAAGCAATCAAGAACATGTCTTCCTCAAGAGAGGGGAAATCCACGTCAAAGGTATTATAAATATTATTTCCAATTTACCTGGCATCAGTAACCTTCTCAGCCTTATATTCTGAAATTGTACAGACAGGGAGATGTTACCTTCTTAAGCAGGTTGTCATGGGTTCAGTTTCACATGTTTTCATTGACCTGAGGCTGTTTTTTAATACTGTTACTTTGGTACCGTGATCCTTCACTGGGTGCCCTACCAATAAAAGAAAAAGGAACCACAGATCTCTTTTTTAATTCTGAAATTCATGGAAATATTAACAAATGAGCTCAGACTTAGGTACATGAAAATAATCTTCAAGTCTTTTTTGTTTTCTCTCTTAGTAGTTTGCATTGTAGACATTCATTTGTGAATTCTACATTTGCACATAATATAGCTGCACGTGTCATTTCCCTAGCCTGCCACCCACCGTCTACTTTCCTCCTGGCTTATTTCAGTCTCTGAGCTTTGTGTGAGCTTCCTGGGCAATTTCCCTCATCCCCACCCTTCATCACCCCCAATCAGGGGCCCATTTTGTCATGAGAGATAATCCCAGACTCTGAAGGGCAGCTCAGCAGCAGCAGTGTAAGCAAGTGCCTACCACACAGGCTGTTACCCAGGGACCCCTTCAACTCGAATGACGTCCTGCTACGTCCAGCCTTGCCAGGTTCTGTGTGCAGCCATATTTGGTTATTCCCAATGTGGTTTTAGTGCTGTGAATACTAAATATTGGCTGCTAGTAGCACAGCGATAGAGTGCTTGCCTAGAATACTTGGAACCTGGGGTTTCATCTCAGCACTGACTTGCGAAAAAACTAGTAATAGTATTTATTGAGTACTTGTTATTACCAGAAACTATTATCTGTGATTAACTGTATTCATTGTTATTTAGCGCTCATGATAATGTTCTTTATTTTCCTGTGCCAGGGATTGAACTCAGGGACTTGCACAAGCTAGCAAGTGCAATAAAATGGAGCTAGACTCCCCTGTCCCACAACAATGTACTTTTCTTTTTCTTGCTATCAGGGTTTGAATTCGGTGCTTTGTGCTTGTTTGTTTTTTTTTGGCTACATTCTTCCAGGCTTCTAGCCCAGCTTTTTGTTGATTACTTTTGGAGATGAAATCTTTTAGACTTTTCTGCCTCCACTGGCTTTGAATCTTTATCCTGTTGATCCAAACTTCTTAAGAGCCCCCAGTGCCCTTCGAGAATCTACTCCCATGTTTTAGAAAGGAATAAACAGACTCATGTTATTCTCATCTGCTGATAGGACAGAAGCCTTGCTAGCTAGTTCTGCAGTTCATGTTGTTGGGTTTAGGGTTGTCCAATTTGAGCTACCTTTAGAAAGATCTGTACATAAGGTGCCCTTATATACACATTTATTATAGTCTCATAATTCGAGAGAAAAGTAGAGTTTGCAGTGCCAAGCCAGGGGGTGTGGGCTTGTGCTCCTAGCACTTGCAGGCTCAAGCTGGAGAGTTGCCAGCCTGGGCTTATAAATAACAAGGAGACAGTCAAAAATATAACAGAAAAAAATTCTGGCTATCCTTTTCAGTCTTGCATGGTCACAAGCTGACAAAGTTTAGCATTTTATTTCATTTGAAATAATTATGAGTTTGTTCAAAGGTTTAAACTGTAACACATCTTTTGGTATCCTTCCTTCATCAAGAACACATGTAATGAAAACAAGATGTTTTATTTCATGCATCGTCGAGTGCTTTCTTTCACATCCATTGAGATTTAACTATGACTGTATGGGAATTGCGTTTTTAAATATCATTTATATTTTATCTTAAAATAAAGCAACTTTCTTTTTTTTTCTTCCTATTTAGATCAGCCCTAAAAGTGATGTTTGGTCCTTAGGATGCATTTTGTACTATATGACTTATGGGAAAACTCCATTTCAGGATATAGTTAATCAGATTGTAAAATTACAAGCCATAATCGACCCTAATCATGAGATCGAATTTCCTAATATTCCAGAGAAAGACCTTCAGGATGTATTAAAGGTAACAACAGTACAGTAGAGTCAAAAGATAGTATTTCACATTTCATAGAATTCTTTTAGAAGAACTAGTAGAAATGATTGGAATGGGATGAATGGATTAAATACAACCGGTCTATTGAAGGGAACTGATGACCACAGTGAAATTTAAAGCATTATTCATTTAAAGGTGTTTTTAAAAAATGTAACGCTGCTTGGCAATTTTGCACAAATGACTTGAAATTAAAAAAAAAAAACTTATTGTTTGAGTGGGGTACCTATAATACAACTTCTGTAATATGTTCTAGAAAAATACCAGTATCACACGAGAAAACCTTTTTACAAAGCAATCTTTATTTTTGTAGTGTTGCTTGATAAGAGACCCTAAACAGAGGATATCGATTGCTGAGCTCCTGGCACATCCTTACGTCCAGATTCAAACCCACACAGGTACTGCTGCCCACACAATGCTCCACCTTGTCACTGAGATGAACAGCCAAAAACCAGAAGCTAGGTTGGCTACTTGTTTGCAGCCTGCCTGCCTCCTTCCTTCCTTGAGGAAGTTGCCCTTATGCCGAGTAGTAAATAAAATGGTCTTTCTTCATTTTACTTAGCCTAGGTAAGGGCTACGCAGGTCATTGTGCTGTTCCACTGAATGTATATATTGTGTGAGTGATTTTGTTTTTGTTTTAAATCGAGCTTGCCGAGTAGAACGTGTGATCCTCCTGTCTCAGCCTCCAGAACGTGTTATTTTTAACTGAATTTTTGTTTTTCTCGTGCCAGTGTGTTGATTGCATATGTTCTCGTTTATTTTATAGGAAACCAAGTAACGAAGGGCAGCACTGATGAGATGAAGCAATTTCTGGGTCAGCTTGTTGGGCTCAATTCTCCTAACTCCATCCTGAAAGCTGCTAAAGTGAGTGCATGTGCTCTGTTCAACGACTTGTTCACTCAATATAATTGGGCATTGAAAGAAACAGGTCACCCAAAGGAAAAGTAGTCCAGCAATCACAGCAGTTGTAATGTGCATTTACGCATTGAGACATTTAACGTATGCTTTTTGACAATTGCAGGTCATTTTGATTTGTATTCTCATTGTACATATAGCACAGTTTCGAGTCCGTGGTCTTACAAAGACCATTCAAAAGATTTCTGTCAGCATCGAACTCATAAACTGATATGATAAATTTGTTCAGCTAGTTAAAGACAGTAGAAATAAAGGGGGGGGCTGGGAAGGTGGCTCAGTGATAGCGTACTTGCCTTGTATGCATGAGGCCCTGAATTTGATTCCTTAGCACCACATAAGAAAAAAGCCGGACCAGGTGCTGTAGCTCAAGTGGTAGAGCGCTAGCCTTGAGCTGAAGAGCTGAGGGACAGCGCCCAGGCCCAGAGTTTAGGCCCCACGATTGGACCAAGAAAAGAAGGAAGGAAGGAAGGAGAAGGATTGCTGTCAAATCTTAGGCGCTATGGCTCAGGTGGTAGAACACTAGCCTTGAGCTGAAGAGCTGAGGGACAGCGCCCAGGCCCAGAATTTAGGCCCCATAATTGGACCCAGGAAGAAAGGAAGGAAGAAAGAAAGAGGAAGAAAGATTGCTGTCAAATCTTAGGTGCTGTGGCTCAAGTGGTAGAGTGCTAGCTTTGAGCTGAAGAGCTGAGGGACAGCACCCAGGCCCAGAGTTTAGGTCCCACGATTGGACCCAAAAAGAAAAAGAAAGAAAAAGAGAGAGAGAGAGGGAGGGAGGGAAGGAGGGAGGGAGGGAAGGAAGGAAGGAAGGAAGGAAGGAAGGAAAGAGGAAGAAAGATTGCTGACAAATCTTATACTAAATTCATTCAGAACTACATCTTTTAAAGCATTCTGTCTCAACACCATTCTTCATACTGATACATATTAAACCATAGGGAAACAACAGGATTTGTCAGGTATAATGCTGGCTTCTGTAAAGCTCTACATAGCAATGGGTACTTTTTCAAATCACAAGTCTCTCGTTAGGGTTAAAATACCTGTTTATTGGTGGCTCACGCCTGTAAATCCTAGCTACTCAAGAGACTAAGGTCTGAAGGATTGTGGTTTGAAGCCAGCCCAGGCAGCAAAGTCCCTGAGACTCAGATTTCCAATTATCCAGCAAAGACCAGAAGTGGTAGAACACTAGCCTTGAGCATAGAAGAGCTCAAGTACCGTGCCGAGGCCCTAAGTTCAAGTTCTAAGACTAGCATACACACACACAACAAAAACAAAAAACAAAACTTGTTAAATCATCAATTTTGGTACTATACACACACACACACACACACACAGTCATTTATGTAACACTGTGAGTTTATTGGTCAGCTGATCAATTGATATGTTTCATTTGTAACATTCTGAAACAATGGAAGCTTGAGCTAACAACATTCTTTTTTTTTTTTTTTTTTGTCGGTCGTGGGGCTTGAACTCTGGGCCTGGGCGCTGTCCCTCAGCTCTTCAGCTCAAGGCGAGTGCTCTACCACTTGAGCTACAGCGCCACTTCCAGTTTTCTGGTGGTTTATTGGAGATAGGAGTCTCACGGTCTCTCCTGCCCGGGCTGGCTTTGAACCGCGATCTCAGATCTCAGCCTCCTGAGTAGCTAGGATTACAGGCGTGAGCCACCAGCGCCCGGCTGCTAATAACATTCTTAATGCTAAGAGAGTATAGTCAGCCACAGGTGCTAAGAGCTTGAATACCTTTCTGAGCCAGTTCACTATACATTCATTATTAGATTTTATGCATTTTATATAATTTTTCTTTTTTTTTGTCAATCGGGAGCCTGAACTCTGGACCTGGGTGCTGTCCCTCAGCTCATCAGCTCAAGCTAACACTCTACCACATGCGCCACAGCGCCACTTCTAGCTTTTTCTGCTTATGTTGTGCTGAGGAATTGAACCCAGGGACTCATGCATGGGAGACAAGCACTCTACCACTGAGCCACCTTTCCCTCCCATATTTTTATCAATATAAATAAGGTGGATTTTGATCACTTTAAATCACTGAAGTTAGATAAGCCAACATCTTTGTAAATGAGCTGTTGGCTCAGCCATCAATCAGTGTTCCTTAAAATTACATAGATTTTACTGTGGGTTTATATCCATTGATTCAACCAGCTGCAGTTCAGAAATAGCTCGTGTGTACTGCACATGGAGAGGTTTTCTTGTTGTTTTCCTAAAAAAATGATTTGTATCATGTTCACATTGTATTAATTAGGAAAAGCGATCTAGTAATCTAGACATAAAGTATGTAAGGATGTGTGTGCATGTGCATGCATGTGTGCAAATAGTACACAGTTTATCAAAGGACTAGAGCCTCTGCAGATTTAGGAGTCCAGAGCGGGGACAGGGGGATCCCATACTGGAGACACACAACAGACAACTCCACCTGACACCTAATTGTATTTATGTATGTAATCACTTAGTACCCTCCTTATTAGTTTAAATATACAAAGTTTCTTAATGAAAATGCTTTCCATATAGGAAGTTTTCTAAAAGTAACTTTAAGAAAAAGTAAGGGGACTTCAGAAGACCTTGAAGATTTACATATGTGTTTATGAATAGCTTATTTTTTCTTTTGGAAATCCTGAGGACCATTTTATGATAGCCAATTCTTAAGACCAAGTTGAGAATTCTTAGCTCCACTGGTTTATAAAGTAATTTCTCAGAATACATCAGTTTTTACCTTATGGATATGATATGTTGAAAAAAAGTTATAAAACCGATTTGTGTTTTTCATTTCAGACTTTATATGAGCGCTATAATAGTGCTGAAAGTCATGATTCTTCGTCATCTAAAACTTTTGAAAAAAAGTGGGAAAAATAATGATGAGCAGCTACTCAGAACCTGTCAGATAACACTATAAAGTATGTGGGGTGCATACACTGTACTCTGGAACCTGGGAACTATGAACTGTAAAAAGTATTCTGTAGATTATCCTCAAGAGGAAACTGTAAAATAGCAGCCATTAATGGCACTGTATATATTAAATTAAAGAATTGTTTATTTCCCTCTTTTCTGCTTTCCTGTAAATCGAATCTATTTGCCAGCATTTCACACTGATGTGTGCACAACTGCAATACATTCAGAAGGACTCTGTAAATAAAGCTTTGTGGCCTAAAGTGACCATAACATTTCAAAGTAGTAAAATTATTTTCTCAAAGCAAATATATTGTTAACACGCTAGCCTAATTTTTAATAAAAGTTGCACGAAGAGAAAGCTGGACTAGGCCTTACTACATAAACTTTTTAATTTACTTCATTGTTATTGTAACGGTGATTACGTAATGAGTGCATTCCTTTTGTGTAGTGTCTTCCCTTCTCTCTCACATACTCCCAATCCCTCCCTCCCTCCTATCTCCACCCACAAGGGTCCAGTGAGATCTACTGCTGTACTTTTCCACCTTTTTTCCTCAAGTTCTCTACCCTCTCGGAGATAGACACATGAATACACCATATATAAGGAATACAGAATCATCAAAAAAATAAAATACAGAAAGAAAAAGAGATCTCTTGTTTCCATATCTTGGAGTCTATATGTGTTTATGTATATGTATATATATATATGTATAATTTTATATTAAATATGAAGAACTTTTAAAAAGAAATTGCCAAAGTGTTTGTCTAAATAGATGTTCTAATTGTGGCACTAAGGAAGTCCATAGTTTTAGGACTTCATGTGACTCCTTCAGTTCTGCCTGTGATTCTTTGTTGTGTTTCTTGGTTTCATGTATGCGTTCATGGAAGATTTTTAGAATCTTGTCGGGTTCTGTGGTGGACATTGTGTAGGGCATGGTTTGAATATTTTGAATGCCTGGTTGGTTTGGTAACGTGGGCCCATTTTGTCGTTCACACACACACAATCACACCTACACAGAAAATTTTAAAACTGCCCCTGTGACTGATTGCAATCAACGCACACACACACACACACATAACGTGTGTAGGGTGTAATGAGACAAGTTTCGTTATGGTTCTTGTCCTGACGAATTTCATTGTGTATATACAGGTTTTCCAAAACCAGAACAAAATGGGGCAAAGCACTTGTAAGTCACACACATTGCCACATAAATCACTCAGCCTGTTTCCTCTTTAGACTTTTTTTTTTTAAGAAGAGTTACATATGTTCACAATAAAACTGCTCAGAACATACAGAGTTCCTGTGTATTTACCTCATCCATCCCTCAAAACTGCCAGCATCCTGTACTACAGTATTGCATTTGGGATGATCCAGGATTCTACGCTCAACACCCAACAGCCATTCTTGCTGCTGTACATTCTAGCATTTGGCAAGTTCAATGGCAGATGTCCCAGGATGGTCTCCACTGCCTTGATAATCCTCTGGTCTTTGTCTGTACCTTTCCCGAACCGCCAACTCTGACAACCACGGGTCTTCCTGTCTCTACTTGTAAGTTAATACAAGCACCTTGGGATTCCAGGACAGGAGCCAGCGCATACCTGCATGATGAGGAATCTTAAGGAACAGCAAGACGGACCTCCTCCCCCCCTCCAGACTGGTTTCTTGGGTGTTTTTTCTAGACTAGCAAATGCTCAGTAGCGCTTACCTTGCTGGGTTCTCAATGTTGTTATTGCAAGTGTTTGGGCTTGAATGTAGGGTCAGGGTGCTCTCAGATTTGACTCTCAAATTTGGTGTTTTACCACTTGCATCACACCTCTACTTCTGGCTCTTTGCTTGGATTTGACCGTTTGGGCTGACTTCACACCATGATTCTTAGATCTCAGTCTCCTGAGAAGCAAGAATTCCCGAGGTGTGTACCCCGCATTTATTGGGGGAGGGGTCCTCAGGGGGTAATAGTTTATTTAACAAGTAAAGCCTACTCAGGAGAATGAGCAAGGGGACCCAGAAATCGGCTGTCCTGAGCCCAGCTTTCATTAATACTTTGATCCCTTAATTCTTCCTGGTTTTTAGTTATCCTTTGTTATGTAACATTACCCACCATCCACAAAAGGAAATCCAGAAATTGGCTTTAAAACCACAAGCTTGATGCCACAGTTTCTGCAGGTCTGGGTAATGAACGCATGGTAGGTGGTGCCTCTGGTTTAGGGCCTTCCGTGGGGCTTGCAGACCATTACCAGAGTTCATGCGGTCTCACCTGAAGGCTCATGTGCAGAGGGACCTGGCCCGGCTATTTGCCGGGAGGAGGCAGTTTACTGGGCCTCAGCCTCTTGATGCTATTTTGTGGAACTATACAAGGTTTCTGTGGTTTGAACTGTTTAAACTGCCAGCCAGCCACCTTGCTGAATTCTTAATATGTCTCAAAAGCTTTCTCATTTCTGCATAAGATTCCCTCTCACTGGCTCACCAAAGGACAGGCTTCTCTCCCGCTGTTGGTACCCACACCCGTGTGATGTTGGAGCAGCTGGCGTTTTTATTGGGAACTGGTCATGCAGATCCCTTTTGCTTTCCCTGTACCAGAACTTTCTATCTCAGAAGGAAAGCAGTGACTAGGCACAGGGAGCTGCAACTCTTCTGGCACCCAAGACTTCAGCCATGGGCCAATCCTGCAAGGAGGTCACTTAAAGATACCAGTTTCAAGCCTGCTTATGTTAACGCCTCAAAATATACTTAGTTGGCCAGGGGCCAGTGGCTCACACCTGTAATCCTAGCTGCTCAGGAGGCTGAGCTCTGAGGATCGTGGTTTGAAGCCAGCCTGGGCAAAAAAAAAAAAAAAAAACGTCCCTATGAGACTATTATCTCCAACAAACTCCTCAAAAAAGGCCCAAAGTAGCTCTGTGGCTTAAGTTGTAGAGTGCTAGCCTTGAGCACAAAGAGGCTCAGAACAGTGCCCAGGCCCTGAGTTCAGGCCCCACAACTGACCAAAAAAAAAAGCAATTTGTGATTAGCTGGGACTTGAACTCAGGGTTTGGGCACTGTCCCTGAGCTTTTTGCCTCAAGGCTAGCCCTCCCTTGAGCCGTAGCTACACTTCTGGATTTCTTTGGAGGGGTAATTGGAGGTAAGAAGAGTCTCATGGACTTTCCTGCCCTGGCTAGCTTCAAATCTTGATCTTCAGATCTCAGCCTGCTGAAAAGCCAGGATTACAGGTGTCTGCCACCAGCACCTGGCTGAGATTAGCTTTAAAAAAAATGCTGTTTGATTTTACTTTTACCTTGTCTCTTAAAAACATCCTCAGGGTGGTGACTAACCTTGAGCTTTCTAGTATTTACTTAATATTCTATTAAGGGATTTGTTCAAACACAAGTCAGATTGCCTGTCTCCTCTGCCCTATCCAAGCCCCATGGAATCTGGAAGCAATGCTCAGGGTGTGCGTGCCAGCCACATGGTCTGTATTGTGAAGGTGTCTGGTACATTGCCTGTGGCTCCTAGACTTCTCTCTTCCAGAATAGTTCTTCATCGGTGGTCACTTGGCCTTTTCCCTCCTCTCCTTCTAGCATTTATTCAAACATCATTTTCTTCTTCCAAGTGTACATTTAATATTACCAGACAAGACTGGTAATATTACCACTCAAGACTGGTCGCTACGCTCCATAACCTCTTTCATTACTGCTTTTGTACTATGTGTCTTTTCAGCTTTCTCTGTGACTGTTTGCAATACCAGTTATCTCACTGGCGCTACCAACCTGGGAAACCTTTTGAGTGTGTGGTGTGTGCTGGTACTGAGCCTTGAACTCCAGGCCTTCTCTCTCTTGGCTCTTTTCGCTCAATGCTGGAGCTCTACCACTTGAGCCTCATCTCCACTTCCAGTCTGTGAAACGTCTTACCTATTTTCTTCACTACCATATAATGGTTCTTAGTGCAATGTCTCTTCTGTAGTTGGTACTTGATATATCTCTGAATGAAAAGCTCCTTCTTGGGAATGGATGTATGGCTCAAGTGGTAGAGTGCCAGCCTAGAGTGAAAAGTCCAAGCAAGAGTGAGAGGCCCAACTTCCAGCCCCAATACCAGCATACTCCCCTCCCCTTCCCCTTCCCCCAAACTCTTTCTCCTTGAATAAGAATTATCAAATGTGTCAGGCACTGATAGTTCACGCCTGTAATCCTAGTTGAGATCTGAGGAACCTGTAGTTCAAAGGCAGCCTGGGCGGACAAATTCAAGACAAATTCTATCGCCAGTTCACTGGATTTGGAGGTATGGCTCAAGTTCTAGAGTGCCAGTCTTGGGATAAAAAGCCAAGTGAGAGTTGCAAGGCTCTGAGTTCCAGCCCCTGTATTGCCTCCTCCCTCCACACACACACAAGTTATAGAGTGTACTGTTTTATGGAGAAGCGATAAGTGAGCAGTTAGAAAATCCTCTAATGTTCCAAACAAAAAGAATGAGGCCTGGTCTTTCCAGATGGCCTGCCTTGCAACTCTGAGATTCTAGAAATGAAACATTGGCTCACACATTTTTTTTTCCCCAGCTAATGTCCTTGGCAGAGTGGATAATGTACAGAATGAGGCCTTGGCTTTTCCAGAGAGACACAATGTGGTGCATGGTCCTAAATGAAGAACTTTCCTGTTCAAATAAGAATAAAACTGAAACCCTTGTCCTCCAAGTATTTATTTCAGTGGTTTTATTCCTCCTGTGATAAGAAGGAGAAGGACTTGGTCAGTTGGTTTGTCTGTGGCTCTATCACGGATGGCAGTCAAATCACAGGTGTTGACAGGGCACCTGGAGCTCGTATATGCCCTCCGTCCTGGAGGGCTGAGGACAGGAGGCCCAGACGTAGCCCTCCCCCTCCACTCTGTCACCATCTCTGAGGCCTGGCTCCCCTCTCTGCTGGACAGTTCTCAAGGACTCTTGTCAAAACCAGAATGGTTCTCCACTGCCAGTGGAGCTTTACCCAGATTTTCCATAGGGCTGGGAAGGGCTCCCCCTGGCGGTCAGAACAAGAAGTGCTGAGGGTGTGGCCCATCCCAGAGTTGGGATCCAGGGGCTTAGTAAGTCAACCTTGCCAGTTCTCATCCCAGCCAGCCCCAGGGTGGGTGTGGGGGAAGGAGGGGGTGCAGATAGCAGGAATTTCTGGTCTGGGTGTGGAGTCTGTGCAAATGGCTGATTTGAAACAGTGCTATAGGGTTCAGTCTGGGACAGGCGTGTAAGTGGGTCAAGTTAGTTTGGATGGCACCGTCAATCACAGCTTGCCCAACTGATCCTGTGAATGCCCAGAGCACTCTTGGTGCACCTCTGCCAGTCTCTCTTTCAGGCTGTCCTCCCTCACTGGCTGGGCCTTGCTGCTTCATTTTTTCTCATCAGAAGCAACGTGGACGAAAGCTGGAAGGATTCTATTCAATCAGGAATTCACTGTGATGAACACCGAGTTTAATAAAGTCTTCCCGGATGACCACATGCAATCTTCCCCTTTGTTCTTGCTGTTAGGTTTGAACTTTTAGGTGTTTTCCCCTTTTACCTCCTCTTCTTTTCCCTCTTCCAACAACAGCGTGCTTAGGTTTGGTGATTTCTTTTTGTGTCTGTGCTGCCCCTTTTCAGACCACCAGCCTTATCCTTGCACTCAGTTCTCAC